CTATGAAGAGGAAGACTCAAGTCTAAAGAGTATATGGCAAACAAAAGGGGAGGAACAAGGAATTAGAAGAAACAGCTATTAAAAAAGGCAAAGTGATGGGAAGGATGGGCTATGGGGCAGTATACTAAACAAAGTACCAATCTATGAACATCTGGAAGGAAGTTATACTAAAAAATGCTAGCCGCTGAAGGGAAAGGAGCAACACAGCAATGCTGATCAAGTAGAATTTAAATAACAATTTGAGCAAAGTCAGACATGATTCACTGTTTCAAAAATTATACAGCCAAAAGCAAAGGAGATGTGAATCTAAGATTGCTTCAGAGCATATAGAAATTAACAAAGCATGAGCAAGTGATGATGGCTTACCCCAGCTGCTTCAGAAGAATGAAGAGAATGAGCAAGACAGAAAGTTATTGAATTATCAGTATTTATCAGTGAAATATTTGACTCTAGTTTGTCTGCCAAGATCCTTCAGAGGACCTCAAAGAGAAAATAGCAATATGAGCAATAACTGCATTTATCACAACCTTTGGAGTAGAAATACATGAATTAGTTTAAAAGTGGTTCAATCTGTTGTCTCCACCACAAATTACATGAGACTATTATCCTACTATAATAATCCAGATTCATTCCATATGTCAGAAGCACAGAACAAGAATTAGAAATATATAATAGGCCAACAACTCCAATATATTGTTTCAACTACAGATCAGTGATGCTACAATATTAAGCATTTCTACTTTTTTTCTACCACAAACATTTGGTATTGAAGCAAAAGGTTAAAAATCCTTCCAAAATAATTATACAGGCTGCCTCTAGCCTTAAAATGGTCAAGTGACTTTGCAGAACTGACTCCTGGTCCTGCAAATTCTATTTTCCATGAAATATTAGTTTAACAGCTATTCTGTAGAATTTTAAAATAACTCAAAATCACGAACTACCAGCACAGTTCTCTAATGTTACATCTTTGGCTGAGAAAGGAGTATTGTATTGACTATGTCTCCTTTACCCTTTTAAAAATCCAATCTGGAAGAGGTTAGAATTTTCTCTAGATTAGCATGGGAGAAGATGCTACATACGCCTACTAGGAATGGTAATTATGTCTTCCTCAACTGACAGACCTAAGCTTTTTTGGTTATCGGGAAGAAACTTCAGAATCTAGAATTTCGGACTAATTCTCATTCTACCATGAATGCCTTCGCTATAAAAGGAGATCATTATTAGTATCAATTACAAAGAGTGCATAAAGTCTCTCAACCATGAAGACATAGACATTCATAAAAATTGAAAACAACCAAATTTTTTATTTAAACAAGCACATCAGCACAAGACAGTGTTGTGCAAAGGCCTGCCTGGCCACAGATGCCACCTACTCCTCGAGCAGGAGTTGGGAATTCAGGAGGGTCCACAAATTGTGCATTGGTTCTGAGTGGGGAGGGGGACTGCAAACCCCTCCAGAACCAGTGGTGGAAAATCTCTAATTCCAGGTTCAAGTAGGCCAAAACTCCATAGCTACCAGGCCTCACTAGGACTGAATTGAAGCACATTCTTCTCCACGCAGGCCCCCATAGCATCCAGACACTGGGAAGAGCTTCACAGGATTACCTGAGTAGCCCAAAGCAAAGATATACAACTGAGTATCATCAGCATACTGATGATACTTCATTCAATGCAGACCAATGACCTCATCTAGCAGCCTCATGTAAATATTAAACAAAGGGAGTGTTATGTATTATTTAGAACAATTACTGTCAGGAATAGTGATGCATCTAAGGTGTTTTTTTAACACACAAGATGACTGTTTTTACTACTTATACTTTTTTCTTCCAGATTTTTTACTAAAAAATAGTAGTGTTAAATGAAATACATTAATCAATATTATCTAACCATTTTAAATAAACACCTAGCATTAAAACTCTTTAAATTCCTACCTCCAAAATGTTTCCTGCTTACTGCAAAAATTTTTTTGTGGTCAGCTATTCTTTCAACTTTTATCACTGAAATTTTAAGACACATACAATGCAATATTACTTTTAATAATCATGTGTACAATGTGTAAGAAATCTAACAAAATTAGCAGTTTCTCGCTTCAATTACTACTTTGAAAAGAACTATCATTGATAGTTCAATTTATAAGAGACAAAGTGTTATACAATTGTTTTGGGCTGTAAGCCTTCTTGTAACAATAGAAATTCTTACAGCAAAAAATAAAAACAAACGTGGGGGAGAGTTAAAAGGATAGAAAGCTCCCTTCCCCCACTTCATTGGGCAATGCAAGGAACAGAAACACTGCTATCAGCAATAAATTCCACACACCATCACAAGGTTACAACAAGCTAAAACACGAAGCGTTGTTGTGCTACTGAGATTAGCAACTTGTGGCATACAAATGAACTCTGAGCCACTAAAAACTTTCCACTAACATTACCCCAAGGTGAGGTGATTCATTTAAAGAAAAAAGTTGAAATAAAAGGTCCCTCTTACCCTAAGCGCTAATATATTATTTTATTTACTTGTGTCGACAACAATCTTTCCTTTGAGATAGACCCTGCTGGCTCCAGTCCCCTCATCCCCCCAACCCATTTACAGAGGATCATCCTGCGGCTCTAGGGCAGTGTTTCCCAACCTTGACACCTTTAAGACGTGTGGATCAACTCCCAGAATTCCCCAGCCATCAACTGTTCTGCCACTTATTAGTAACTGGTTGTTATATAAACTATTTATTTCCAATTAATTCACCATTGCTTACTATACGGGCATTTATTTTTATTATTCTTTATGGCCATCATCTGACAATCATCCTAACCCTCCTGATCAGTGTTTTTCAAAGTAGGCACCTTTCAGACGGGTGTACTACTATTATTGTTGTTGTTGTTATTATTACTACTTTTGTATGGTGCCATCCCTCCCAACGTGAGAATTTCTGGGAGCTGAAGTCCACCCATCTTAAAGGTGCCAAGGTTGGGAAACACTGCTCTAGGGGTCTCTCCCACCTGCAGCAGGCCCCTTCAGCGGGGCGAGCAAGGGCTCCGCCCCTGCTTCTGCCCAGGCTCAGCCCCTTGGGAGAGAAGCGACTCAGCAGAGAAAGGACGAAAAGGACCGCGAGCCACGGGAGCGTCCAGGGTGAAAAGCCGGCCTTCCCCAACTCTCCCCACCGACGGCAGCCTGGGAACTGGGACTTCGTCAATCCACCCGCCCTATATTGCCGACCACCACTCCCCTCCCCGGCGCACGACGCGCTTTGGCCAATCAGGAGAGAGCACGAGCCCCAGAAAAAGGGGCGGGGGGAGCGCGAGACCCGCTGCTGAGAGACCCCAATTCCCCAGC